ACTTATAAAATATAGAAACGTCTAAAGTTTCAGGACACAAGATTTCAATAAAGATAAAGTTTACGCACACCGTAACACTAGTTCAATTATAAATTTTTCTAGACACCGAAAGGTTCACACCGAATAAATTTTTTAATAAACCTATTAACGTTCCGAGAGAATGTCAGCGAAAATTGTTCGCTTCGTATTTACTTCGCTACACAGAAAATTCAGAATCTCAATGCCCGTGCTTATTACTCGTATATTTATATTATTATATTGCATTTCCGAAACACGATCGTTAATTTGCTTGTCGAAAAGTAGAGTAGGTACTTGAATATTGTTGCTTACAATTCAATATTCCTTATATAATAATCCATATAATAATCCACATTGGTGTTCAGTTCCTACGCAAGCGTATCCCGGATCCAAGTTTCACGGAGTTTTCTCTTCGCGAATGTTTCACTCCACAGTGACAAGTGGTAGGTGACAATAAACAGTTCAGGATCTACCTATCCATTTCTGTAATTATCCCACTCTTGATAATATACGAATATGTATAACACGGGTAGATAAACACGAGAAAAGTATATTTTTTTATCATAGCATATATTTATGCAAACATGATATTCAAATATGATTACATATCCCCGTTACACTCATAGTATATGATGTATATATGATACGATACGAGAAGAAGAAATATGTCCGTTGTTTATAAACAAAAAAGAAGAAAGAAAGGAATAGACAAAACATGACATTGGGTATTTGGCTTTTCTACGCAATTTCGTCCTCGTACATTCGACACATTCGTACAACTATATTCGGCGATAAAATTATTAACGTAACTTAAAAATTAAAACGCAAATACGTAACAGATATTTAAAACATAAATCTCTCAATCACACTGTCTAATAAATTTGTTTACGATTTTCGATGGGATATGCAAATAGTTGTCATAGCGCCACATTTTCAGTGATCGATGGCCGATAATATTAATATAAACATGAATATTAATCCTAGATTAGAAATTGTAACGAAACCGAAATCGATCTTGACGTCATTGGTTCTATGTGATAATAAAAAATAATTTAACGAGAAGCTGAGTAATATTACTATAATCAGTAAAGTATAAGTGTTTTATAGTTTCGTTTTGTTCAGGTGTCTAATGTTTAATGTATTGCACAGATACTTTTTGGATTCAAATTCCACTGAGACCATGTCTCAAATAAAATTTATGCAAGATAGATGTTGATCGTGATCTTTAAAAATCTTTAAAGATCTTTAAATATTCCTTTTGAACGCATTTTTTTTGCAAAAGGTCTCAAAGGAGTCATGGGTCGTAACCCAACTGTCGCTTCTTTTTTTTTTTTTTAAATGACGTTAAAATTCTAATTACTCTTAAATTGTATTTACTTGCCATGTGTTTACATCTATACTTATATTTAACGAGAAAGTAGCGTGATATTTATAAAGCAGCAGGAAATTGGCTCGTGAAATGTATCGAAATACAGGACTAATAGGAGACCCTACGTTCAGAAAGCATTCCGTAACAAATTCGCCACGTTCGAGCATTTCAAATGACTTCTTCATTCCTTTTCGACGAGGATTTTTACCTTTGAATGTTACATAATCAACGAAAGATTACTAATGTTGACGGTCGATGACCAAGAGAAGCTAATGTTTCTCAGAAACGTGCTGCGGAAATTTACTGTCCCTTCCATTTCCCCGTAGACGTTTGAAATTGAAATTTTGATATCTTGCTGCTGGTGTTGATACTCCAGATTGCTTCCTTTGCTCGTACGTCTCTTTGTTTGCTATATCTTTGTTTGCGGACGCTCACGTCAAACTGATGTCTCTCTTCTGTAATTTCCCAGCAACAATCGCCCTGCAATTTTTCTAATCTATGGGCTGTTTCTTACTTTGTTGCCTGAGAGTTTTAGGCTTCTGTCGCTCCTGTCGATGACAGGACGCTTGCTGAGTTATTATGTTATTGCTCTTTTAGTATTATGACTCGGGGAACTCTTTTTCCGAATATTCAATTGCTTTGCTTATCGCTAACGCCTCCACGGTGACGATTGATGCTTTATTTCAAAACTTATGATATTATCTTCTCTCCGTTCATCTTCTTGCTTTATGCTAAAGTTAGCTCCATTCGCAATTCCTTAATCCATCCTAGATCTGTCCGTGTAAATTTCTCTGCGTAACTGTTATCTATTATGATTTTCTTTCTCAAATATCCCTCTTCCATATTTATCAAAATTCTCCGATTTCTTCTGAGTTAATATATTATGTATATGAATTATCCAATAGATTTTCCTTATATATCATTTGTATGTATATTATTTTCTCGTGTCTCTCTATGTTTTTGTACGCTTGCGTCACTCTGATCTATTCTCTGTACTCTGATTTTCTATCAAAATCAATTGGTTAGCGAAGTTCTGGATCACGTCTCTTATCGTGCAACTCTTGTTCGATCGTAGTTTTAGAACATACTTTTGTGCTAGCATGTTTAGTCTATCCGACAAATTCTTCAGCTCTTCCTGACAAACTCTTCCTGAGATTCAGTATCTCCTCGCTATTCGTAGGTCTATTTTTTGGGGTATCTTCAATTTCTTTTAATTCTGTTGTTCCATGATACGTTGGAAGCGAATACTCTTTTGCTTGCCTAATAAGACATTTAATTCAGTTTAATCACAGTGCTTGAAACAGCGTCTTTTGGAATTCCAACGATATACAAGCGGTAAACAATTAATTTCTCTTTCTTAGGCAACTTACGATTAATTTAATTAATGATTTTGTTATTCTTATACTTATCTATCTCGGATAGAAAAGTAGATATGAATTTTTTCATAGAACCGTACAAGTAAATAAGCTCTTGTAGTGTGGAATTCGATAAGTTCTTGCCTATGCTAGTGTCCAATCAAACCAGATAGATTCCTAACTTTAAATTGAAATACGTAGGTTCTTGTATATGCTAGCATGCCACTGAACAGGGTAAATCCTTAATTTTATAGGTTCTTGTATATGCTAGTATGTACCATCTTCAGTATTTGATCGCATGGTGCAGCACTATCCAGGGAAAAACAATATCACGAACGTGAGAACTTTCAACGCAATCGGCAGGTCAAAGTATCATTTTTGTAAAATTCGTTTAAAGTTTTATTCCTAAAATTATGTTGCGTTCTCCAATAAGTCAAACCATACAGCAAGTTAATCGCAATTTTTCAAAAATAAAATGTAAACGACTAGAAGGGAAAGTAGCTATTGTTACAGCATCAACAGAAGGGTTTGATAAGATTTACTGTCATTTTGGAATCCCAATCTTTTTACATAAATTATATATTCTAATTTATAAAATATAATTTGTTGTAGTATTGGTTTTGCAATAGTAAAACGTTTAGCTGAAGAAGGTGCTAAAGTAATGATTAGCAGCCGCAAAGAATCAAATGTAAAAAAGGCTGTAGAACAACTTAAATCTGAAGGTTTAAATGTTTGTGGTACCGTATGTCATGTGGGAAAAAGTGAAGATAGAAAAAATCTTCTTAAGAACGTAAATTTGTTATTTAGTTTAGTTCGTAAATATGAAAATTTGTAAGTAGACACAAAAGTACAATTTATTAATTACATTTTAGACTGAACAAGAATTTGGTGGCTTAGATATTCTTGTATCAAATGCTGCCACAAATCCAGCACAATCTACATTTTTTGAAACTTCAGAGGAAGTATGGGATAAAATTTTTGATACTAATGTTAAGAGTACATTTCTTTTATTACAAGAAGCCTTACCGCTTTTAAGAAAGAGTAAATCTGCATCGATAATTCTTATATCTTCAATAGCAGCATATACACCATTTACTGTAAGTATATTTAAAAAATCATGTATCTTATCTTATTTAATATATAGTGTGTTTGTGTAATTCTTATATTAAAAAATAAAATTAATATTGCAGTTACTAGGTGCATATGGTGTTAGTAAAACTGCATTGTTAGGAATAAATCAAGTAGCTGCTGCCACTCTTGCACCTGAAGGAATTCGTGTCAATTGCATAGCACCTGGTATTATAAAGACTAAATTTTCACGAGTGGTATGAATTTTTATATTCTTTTGTTGCTATCTTACTATATCACTAATAATATGTGGTAATATTGTACAATAATATTACACAGCTTTATGAAGGTGAGGTAGGAGAAGCTGTATTATCAACAATACCAATGCAAAGATTTGGTGAACCAGATGATATAGCAAATGTTGCTGCATTTTTGGCAAGTGATGATGCTTCATACATTACTGGCGAAACTATTACTGCTGCTGGTGGGATGCGAAGTAGACTTTAAATATTGTTTATGAAATTATTATAAATTATTAAAATTGTAATCTATTTTATTAAATATTCCATATAGAGTTTTATAGTTTTGTACAAGATATATATTTGTATATATATAAGAAGATATTGTTATGATATGGTTTAACAATAGGTTACATTTACATATTACTAATGTGAAATGGAAAACATGATTTTATATTTTATAAGTATGCGATTTGCATTAATACATGCAACGTTTATACAATAAAAAGCAAAATTATTCATTCCCAATTACGATTTTGCTAATTTTAGCATTTATTAATTATTATACGTATTGACATATATCTATATAAATATTCATAATAGTAATGGTAGTGCTAAAATTGCGTTAAAAATGCGTAGGAAAAAGATAGGAAAGTGAAGAAGATGAAGAAAGTTACAATGACGTTGGGAAATAATATCGAGAAATAAATATGATAAGAAAGTTTAGTTTATCAAGTATTTTATATACATAATTTCTTTTTACATATATTTTTATATATAGAATGCATAGCTTTATTAATTTAAACGTATGTTTTCTAATTTTCTAATCCAAAGCTATAAATGCTCAACTAGATCAACGTAATTCAGTTTTGGATAATCTCGCACAAAAAATGATGGTATTCATGTAGAATTGATTCAGCCAGAGAGGAAATGAGAGTGTTTATGCTTATGGTTCAGGTTGTTTCTGGACTAGTGCTGCGCCATACAGGCAATACTGAAAGGTGATTCACGCTAGCATATACAAAACCCTACGTATTTAAGTTTAAAGGTGTTAAAGTTAAGGGTTTCATAAAATAAATTTCAAACCAGATTGCTTTGTTATCTACCAGAGTAAAGTGCTTTTGATACCTATTGCAAGATTCTTTCAAATAAGGTTGTCTTTTTGATCGCACCGTATTACGATGAAGTTACGATCTTCTACACATTTTCAATAATTAGAGAAATAATAGCGAGTATATAATATTCTTTTGTCATTTTATAAGATTTTCAAAGAATCAATAAAGTTTGATTGATCATAAATCAACGACTTTGATTTTGTTCATATAGGAGGAATACCTTGTATAAAATTTTAATTAAACAGACACATATGGAGAAGTAAATATGATGCTTATTTTGTAACATACATGATTGTAAATATACATAAGTTATGTCCCAATTAACATTTATAGAATGGATTTACAGAACTGTAATGATGATTAGTTTATACATTTCTGTATAAAGATTACTTATGATTTAAGTCCCAGTAGTGCTCACCATAGCTGCCATCTATATTTGCCCACTTGACCTGCACAAATATTGTTTTATATTTAAAAAAAATAATACCATAGATTACCAATTATAAAGTAATTAAATTATAATAATCATTGAGTTCATGTCTTTTTACTAAGAGCAGCTCAAATTTAATATTTTTGCTGTACCTTTCCACGATGTCGATTATTCGGAAGATCTTTTTCTTCGAATCTTTGTTCCCATTGAACTGGGTTTTCGCAAACATAGCCAAATTGCAATTTGTCATCTTTCTGGTGTTCTGTAAAAATATCTCTAAACACATTTAATTGTATATATTATACATTAATTTTATATCATTTCAGTTTTGGTTCAGTTTGGTTTTTTATTTTTAACAACGATTATTTAATAATTACATTAATTAGGATAACATAATAGAAATTTGTCTGTTTTTATTATAAGAATTTTTATTGAATTTTCTAGTGCTATACTCACTGAAACAGTTGTTTTTTCATAGCAATAATTCCTCCGTGTTCTTCATCAGTTGACTTTTTTCTTAATCTTTCAATTATATCTGTAAATTGACGTTGTTTCTATGGTTTTCATTAATTAATGTATGTCATTTATTACGTAATTATTTCAAACGAATGTATTTATCGTGTAAGATTGTGTGACCTTCTTCATTTGAATGTTCGTATATTAGATTTTATTACAAAAAATTACTTATTTTGTTTATTTTATTTTGGGGATATTAGTATCAAAATATTTTCAAATAACATAGGATATTTCATTGAACTATTGAGCCTCAATATGGCTAAAACATAGCAATGTAGTGATGGGGGGGGGGGTTAATCGGAAAGAAAAATTTACGATTTTCTTTGCCAATGCTTTGCTGTGCACACGATGAAAATTTTATCGAAATCAGCTGACGTACAAACAAGGCATCGGAGAATATAAAAATCTTTAAATAGTAGTTAGATAATAGTAAAGATCACAGTCTCAAATACAAAGGTTGTAAAAAGCGGCCTTTGCTATTTTCTCTACGATTCCGACCAAATGCAATTTTTAAACCAATTTTTTACGCGTCACCTAGTAAACTAATTCTTCTAACTTCTCAAAAAAGTTTGTCGTTTGATCTAATTGTAAAAAATTATTCTGTCTTGAATAGCGTCTGAATATTATTAATAATTGATTGTACTTATATATACTAATATATAAGTAGTTAATAAATAATTGTAAATAATACTGTAGATAAGGTTTTTTGAGATCAGTTACATTGAAGTTTTTTAATCACGTATAACATAAATATCACAAGTGAATATGTATTGAGAAGAAAAATCAATAAATTACCTGAAAAAATTTTATGTTCCTTTTTTGTGGCACCTATAATAACCGGAAGGATTATAAAAAAATATAAATGAATAAATTTAAACATAGCGGATTAAATTGAAAGTTTCTGTAAATGATTCCAATAGATAAAGTATCACCGATCAAGTTTCAATACGAACTGAGGTGACAAAGTTTTCAGAAATTGTACATCGTCTATGCTCTGATTGCTTTGTCACTATTCGATGATGTGAAAGTTAGGACAAAGATAGTAACTGGTATTGTTATCTTTTATTGGCGAAATTGGGTAGATTCGTACGTATTGGTATTAATATTAAAATAATGAGTTAAATATTGAAGATATAATCGTCAGTGGTACTGTTCGATTAAAAATAACACAGTGATAATTACTACAACAATAAAGTAAAGTTATTATTACAGTAATGAAGTATTATACAATATAATTTAAAATACATATACATACAGTTCTATTTTTACATGATTCTGATTTAACAGATTTTAAGAAAATGTATAATTCGCTTGTTACACAATTTCACTTAATGTAACAGAATAATTTACGTCTTCGAATGTCATTACCTTCTTCTCTACGACCTGTACGAGGAAAGTTGCTGATCTACTTTCGCTCATGTAAGGAGGTTTGCTCGCGCACAACATTATTTTGACTAATTTTTAATTTACAATAATTAAAATACAAAGCAGAAAACTCAATTTTTGTATTTCTGATTTTCATCTTATTTTAGCTTCAAGAATTATCTCTCAAATTTTTTTACGCCTGTAGCCGAACACCCTGTATGACGCGGCCAGAAAAATACCAAGTCTTATATAACGCGATTATAAAATTACTTAAAAAAACCATATACTTGACAATAAACGTATCATGAAGTAAAACAAATAAGATGAATAAACAGGAGCAATATTTTAATTGTTTTTCTGTGGCATTTACCTATTGCGCTGATCCGTTCTTAGACGGAAATTATTTTTACACGATCGATATTTCAGAACATGGGTCATAGGATCCCATAAGATGCAAGATCTGTGCTGTATACTCGTCTGTGCTTTAAACTTTAATACACAGATTCTTGTATATGCTAACGTGGAACCAAACAAGCCAGAGATCTCTAATTTTAAAAATTTTTGTATATGCTAGCGTGCGTCACCTTCAACACTTAGCCTCGTGGTACAGCATTATCCCCAGAACAACTAAAACTACGGGCGTGAATACTTTCATTTCCTCTCTGGTTGCTTACATATAAATATGAATTTACATAAATATTTGTAGTATAATAATGGAATATAACTAATGATTTTCTTTAATGAAAATAGCTGTATACTTCGTTACTGTTATTATGTATAATTACTTCGGATTTTACCAAATTAAAAAATTTGTAAAATTATTTCTTTTGCTTGTAGATTTGAGATAAGCGTAAATCGATTATACATGGTTATGAGTTTAATATTCTGTTTTATATACCAGTGCAAAAAGCAAACTAAATTTATACAATAAGAGATAAGAATATTATTTAATACTTTGAAAATTTTATTTTATTATGCAAATATGTTGAAATAATATAACGTATAACATCTATTTTCTAACACACATAACGAATAAAGGTATGTATACATTATTAGGATAATTGGAATAATGATATTAATATCTACGTGTTATAATACTACATCTAATACAGATATTAACATCGTTAAAACGCATTTGCTGGACATACGGTATTTATTTCTTAATATAATAAAAAAAGTTCTTTTTACAAAATAAACTATACTTCTTTTAAAGTTCAATGAAAACAAATACACTTTGTTAACAGCAAAGATGAAATAAAACATCATGATTAGTTGTGTCAGCAGAGCATTTGCATTTTTTGTTAACTTTATGCCTTTCACTATACATATAACGATTGGCTTACTTGTCCCAGTGAAAATAGGAATTATTTCACTTATAAGACTAGAGTTTTAACTTTAAAATAATTTTGTTCCTCTGTAATCTCTGTATTTGATATACTTTGGAAATTATGTAAAAGCTATTATGCTATTATCTTATAGAAATTCATACTTCTCTGCCAATACCTTTTTCTTCAATGCCTTCCATTGCTTTTCTGTAACATACTCTCTATGGAAGAGAGTCAGAATAGAACAATGGTAAGTAAAAGCATTTTGCATTAAAGACTAATCCAGCGACAAAATAATGTGTTTTACAATATTTAATCTCGTGAGGCGCCAATAATTGTCAAAATGTATATGAAGATATTGATGATATCTATATAAAGGCTTAGTGCTGCAAAAATATACTCTTCCGCAGAAATCGAATACTTGTGATTACCACCAATCATCATTTGTGTATCATAGATCAAATAAATAGAGAAAAGAAGGGCCCCAATTGATGCATATACTAAGGTCATAATTGGTCCATGCCATATTGCTGCGATTATTCCAAAGAGTAGGAAAATGATCAATGCAACAAACAAAATGGTGTTAAGAGCAGTGAAGTCAAACTTCGTTTGGAATGCGAATAATGTTAATGCAAAACAAACAGCTGCAGTAATTCCAATCGCCAATAGTACCTAAAGTATTTAATAAAATGTAGTGCTTTATTTTTTATTTATTATTAGTAATGAGTATAATTATTAAATTCTTAACTAATAAATTAAGAAATCATAAACTACTATCTTTAGGATCATACCTCTTTAGAGTTGTATGTAGAAGCAGCAGTAGCTAACAGAAAACTTTCTGCTATTGTAAACAGCAACAAAAACACATAATTCATAGGGGCTTTTCGTCTCACACTAGTACAACATGCCATACATATAATCAGGACAAGAGTTGCTACAAAGGAGATCCAAAATAGCTCTTGATGAGATCGAACATATTTCCTAGTAGGTTCATGGAAAAGGAAGAGCGCAATCATCGATACTGTAATCAGCAGCTGAATCATTAGTATACTGTACACCTTCCTGAAAGCAGATAAAAGTCAAAATTATTAAAACAAATATTGGAAGATATTATAAACCTTCAGCGATGATACACACCTGATGAATCCATTTCTAATGGTTTTATCACTGAACTCAAGTCCTTTGATGCCATCAGAATGCATAGATTCTTCATAGTTTGACCCGTACATGCCTGATTGTGGACCTGTACCAAATATTGGACCACCTGGTGGAATTTGTCCGTAAGGAGGTGCCCCTGGAGGAATAAAACCAGGACCTAAAAATAAATAAAATATCATAAATATTAATTAGTTAGAAAAAAGTTAGGGTATTAGTATAAAAAAAAAGTAATGACATTAAACAGACCTGGTGGTGGTGGATTTCCTCCGTAAGGAGGTGGATATCCAGGAGGGTACCCTTCTTGAGATGGATAACCAGGATTTTGGGGAGGATAACCTGCACAAGCAAATTTAAAAGAAATAAAATATTACAATGCGATAGAATCTTCATTTTGAGTTAAGCATCACTCTTTGTGAGATTTTGTGCTCCATTAACAGCTACTAAATGTTGATGTATGATTTTCTTTAAATATATTGTTTTCCCTTCAATTTGTAATTTCTTTTTCTGAGAGAATCACAACATATTTAAATTATGATTAATGATTATACAGTTTAATAGGTAATATTTAATGGTAATATCCATTTGAAATAAGCAACATGGTGCTTGTGGTTTACTAACTACTTTGTTGCATATTGAAGATGTAATGAATCATAATAAAAAATATGTATAATTTAGAAAGGAGATCAGAACCTTGATGCCCTGCATAAAATCCTGCACCTGGTGTATTCTGCCAAGTTGCCATCTTTTGGTTTTTGTTTTAACTGAAAAAGAATCTATTATTATCATGAGACATTGTTGTAATAACAGAACATCAATGGAATACCAGCGCACGAATGTACCAACAACCTTAAAATAGAGTTAGTCACAAAATTATTAAGAACAGTTGCTTTTCAACATGTTCCAAAATATTTTATTAATTTCTCAAAGCATTTAATATACAAAGTACTACTATGTTAGAAGTATTTGTACTAAATTACACAAAAACAAAACATTGATCAACTTAAGTTATATTATAAGATTGCAGTTCCAAATATATATGTTTATCCTTAAAAAACACAATAGTAATAAGCAATTAATAAATAAAAGTAAAAGTCTCAAATTAATAATTACCTACACATCTCCAAATAACAAAGAAGATTTAAATAATTCTAATATAACATAATGTGTTATGTTGACAAAATTTATAAAAATTGCCAAAGAATTTTTTTATATCTTAAATGCAATTATTCCATATAAAACTGATTCATCACAGTATGTACGAGGAAAATACCAAATATCAGTATATCAGATATGGTATATATCAGTATAGCTGAAATAAGTTTAAACATTACAAGATATAAATTGCTCATATTTATAAGTATTCTTTATGACACACTGTTTAGCTTTATGAATGTTTATTAACAAGGTAACCCTAACAAGATCGTTTTGCATCTAAATATTCACATTTATCTACATATAACATGTATTTAAATACTATAAATATGAGCATAATTAACCTTTATTAATTTTCCCAATGCATTAAGATCAGCTGCAAATAAAATTCACCAACATCAGTTAATAGTTATTATTGTTATACGTTTACGTTATATGTATATATAATAATGTTATATGTATAATGTCACAATCCAATGTGCTGTTAAAAAATATATTTTCGTTAATAACGCAAGTACATACATACATATACAACGTGTCTTTCAAGAAACGTCAAGGATAAGGAAAGAAAACGAAACGTTGGTAACGTTACACATGATAAGCTATCTTACAGATCTTATTGCAAATGAATAACGTAAATTTTTAATATTCTTTAAATTTTGATGTAAAGTGTATTGTTACAAACGATATATTCGGAAATATCAAAATCAAATGATTTTGTTCCGGTAGTGAAACAAATAAACATAATATTACGAAACACAGCAGCGACATATCGATACTTAAACGTTTTCCTATATTAGCACCTGGTACAATGAAACGTTGAAGTTTGCCAGAATTTGTTCATTTTAAAAAGATATTTTTACAACAGTCACAAAAATTCAAGAAGAATATGTATTATAATATTAACCTGAGAAGCAAATTGCTGATATTACACGTCAATCTGATGCGTCATGCGCACTTTCTGGGAATAGTGACAATCGATAACAACATTCGTGCGCCGAATACGAGCCGAATTTATTTACCTTTTTCAGAAAACGTTTAATCCTTAAACGAAGAAACGATTGACACCGCTTAAAATGATGATTGGTTTAACCAGACTATGCTGTCGACTTTGATCGTTTGTGCACTTTAGTTTCTACCAATACTACCATGTAACACGTTCCACTTGTCAACCATTGGCTGATCTCACACAAGTATAGCATGCAACTAATTTAATCATACGAGCAACTGATATGAAGTAAGTTGAATATAGAGGGGGAACATTCTGGTAGACTAAGCGCTTGCGTGACACGTTTATCGCTGTATTGTTTACTGTTATGTGAGATATGTGTTACATTTCCAAGAAGAATATTGCGTAATGTGAATCTCACGAATATGTCATGATCTATTGTAACATAATCCTTTCATGTCATTAAACGAACAATGATCTATCTATTTCTTTATAAAGAAGATTAAATTCCATTGTGTAATAATGTGATATTATTTTCTATGCACATGAAAGTTGGAGAAAAACTTTAATATTATCTGTTGCATAGAAATCACAGAATATACTAAATGCTTTTCAATATAAGCCAGTCTTCATAACGAATAAAGAAAGTAATAAAGTTCTAGAATATTTTAGTAATTAATTTTTGTAATGTAATAATACTATGAAAAAGAAATATATATCTTTTTTTCACTTATTTTATGCCTATGTTTTTATCGAAAAGATTAAATGCTCTGAGAAATAGATGTCGCAAAAATTTTCAAAAACAGATTTCCTCTCTGCTGATAGTATCAACTCACAGTAGGTACCAACATAACAAAAAGGTCGCTCTAGAGTCCACGTGTGTGACAATTGTGGTTATGTTTTCTAACGCGTAGTATAGTTTGTATAATTAGAGTTTAATAATACTACTATAAATAGTAGTAAAGAATCAAATAAATCATGTCAACTTGTAAAATACATAATATTAGGTTTTACAACCTTGAACCCCGATCTGTTACTTGTTTATCTTATGAATGTAAGACGAAAAAGCTAGCACTTGCGAGGTTAGTTTCCCAAATTACTCTTATTTAGACATCATAGGTGATTGTAACAATATTTACGATAACATTTTTACAGGAATGATAATTCGATTGAAGTTTGGAATGTTGGGAATGCACCTTTTGTGGAATGTACGATACCTGGTCATCCAGAAAATTCCATAGAAAATATTCTGTGGATAGGTCCAAGATTGTTTTCAACCGGTCTTCATGGCATGATAACAGAATATGATTTAACGACATTATCTATCAAAAGCGAAGTTGCAGTGACTGGAGGTGCAGCCTGGTGCATGGATGTTAATCATAAAAAAACATGTTTAGCTGTTGGTACAGAGGATGGATATATCAATACATTTTCTGTTACTCCCCATTCATTGATATACGAAAGGATATTTGATAAACAGAAAGGAAGAATCCTTTGTATTAAATGGGATAACACTGGAGAAATGATCTATACAGGGTCTGTTGACACAATTAGAGTTTGGAATGCTGTATCTGGTCATGCGATTCATAAAATGACGACTTCTAGAAAGGAAGCAAAGAAAGAAACTATTATCTGGTGTTTAGCAGTTACAGATGACAACATCATAATTTCTGGAGACTCACGTGGGTATTTATCATTTTGGGATCCTCACATGGGTACCCTAATAGAATCCCATGAAAGTCATACAGCTGATGTATTAGCTGTTACTTTATCTCATGACATGAATATTGTATATTGCGCTGGTGTTGACCCTGTAGTGAGAAGCTTTTGTAAAATAACTATGAAATCAAGTGGTAGGCCACAATGGGTGAAAGGAATCGAAAGAAGGTTACACGCTCATGATGTAAGAGCCTTAGTAGATGCTGATGGAAAATTATATTCAGCTGGTGTAGATGGATATCTAGCCCAGTCCAGTTATCCACCAAAAATTCTGGTTAAATATCCGCCATTACTACAGCTTCCATGTGCTACAGTTTGTAGAAAATCTAGATGTATTCTTTTACAATATACAAACTTTCTTGAGCTATGGAGGCTTGGATCATCTACTAAAGTATCTTCAGAATCAATACGTCCTGGAATGGTCCACCAGTTAGAAGAGGAGCCTATAAAATTGCTGCAATTAAAAACAAAAAGAGACGAACACATCCTTTCTTGTGCTATCAACAAGGATGCCAAAACAATTGTTTATTCAACCGACGATCATGTTAGAGTTTTCAACTTTGACGTGATCGAGGGAGATGCACAATTATCAAGAAATGATACGGACATTTCTGCAACCAGAATACAAAAAATGTTATTTAGTCCAAATGGAAAATTATTTGTAACAATAAATAACGACGAAAAAAATAGCACTATAACATTATATAAAGTGGAAAAGAAGCATCTGAGGCATCTTGGCTTTTTTTACACAAATAAGGAATCTATTATAAGTGTTGGACTAGTGTGTTTTTCTCCCGATAGTAAATTTTTCGTTTGTGCTGATCGTCAGGGTAGGATTGCTGTATATAATGTTAGTGACACTACAAATAACGACGGACCTGTCGCATGGTTGTTACCCAAATACAGTTGTCCACCAACAGCCATGGCGATCCAGAAAGGCACGTTAAATTTAGTTATAGTATATTCCGATCATAAGGTAAGAAAAAAACGCGAGATGTAATAAAGATTTTCCTTTAGCTCGAGATATTAAAACTTTTAATATCTCTCGTTTAAAACGGTCTAATATCGTAAAATGATAAGTTACTAAGAATTGGATCAGCTATAAAAACGTATAATCTTTCTATCACCTGCATCTTCTGCCTTCCATGAAACTTGCAGTAAATTATTACTGTAATTTCCAGTACCAAACGTAAAATTAAAAGCTATAAAACTGCACATTTTATGAACAATTATTTTCCATAATTAATCGTTGATTATTTAATTTCAGATTATCGAATATAACATATTACAAAGACAATACACCAAATTCTCGAACAATTTACAAAGTCGACTTCCCAAGCAATGGTTAGCCCGGCCATTCCCTATAACGAATATTATTTTTGATCCACGTAACGAGAATATCATAATAATGCACGATGACTCGACAGTTTACGTAATTGATAAATTGAACGAGTTCTCGGAAAAAGAAACGAAAATTTTAAAGCGCGATAATGGCGACACCACCGAGGACAATAATTCTGTGATAAATTCTCAGCAAGTTTTTCAAGTTCTTAAAAAATACAAGGTAATTTTATTTATAACATTATATAATTGAAATATACGAAAATCAATATACAATATCGCTGTTTGTAGCACCTTGTATACTTGGATTGGTTGACCGACGAAGAATTAGTAGCAGTCGAAGTAAATCCCATATCCTTGACGGAAAAGTTACCGCCGACTCTCAAACAAAAATGGTTTGGAATGTAAATATATGAAGAACGAAATAAACGAAATCCATTTTCTTACTGGAATCGAATGTTGTCTGCAAAGCCGTCATCACATTTTTATAAGAGCATCAAAATGAAGAATTACATATCTATTTCTATGTCAACTACTACATTGTTCATATGAGACTACAACGATTTATTTTTTAATACATTTTCTTATAGTATGCAGTCTCTGGTGTATAAAATATATATTCCATAATTTACTCGAATTCTCCACTTAACCGAGAAAAATGAATCTTTGCTGCATGACGCGAAATTCACCAGGTTCAATGGGTGGTTCGATCGTTCGTTTCGGCGAGATATACCAGTGACCTGTAAACTCAAGATTATATTCTGGACGAGATGATCGTAAGCCTACCATACCGGATGCCGTTCTGGGAATGGACGGCGATGGTTTCAGAAGAATTGGTGAACGCTTAATCGCATCTTCCGGTGGTTTGTGTTGGAAAGTGTCCGCCGGAAATCCCTCCTTTCTGCATTCTTCGGCCAGCACCTACGGTCAGTGACACCGGGGAACATTAAAATTCGTGTGGTGCGCATCGCCGATACTGCACTACGCGTATTCTTCCAGCTGGTTTGTGGTACCTTCTTAAAAAATTCAGCCGACAGGTGTTCGTACTTTCTGGACCAGTTGCGCCGAGATAACTTATCTCGTAGCATAATTTCTTTACTGAAATTCACATACCACTCGATATTAATAAAATACGTCATATATCACCTGAGACTAAATGGAAGAATTAACTTGTTTTTCTACATGTCTTTACCAAATACTGTCGAAGTTCACCGGATTCCTTCCCTTACTCTTCTCAGTTCTACCGTCTACTTTATCTTGCGATTCCTCCGCCATTTCCGAGGAAACAGGAAATTTATATATAATGCACGATACGACAGAGAATCGTAGTTGTCACGTGGAACAGATAAACAATATGTTATTGAAACCACTTATACCCAAGTGGAATCTTGGTGTAGTTTGTTCGATACGGTATCCGTTGCCATAGTCTCTATCTAATTCCATCTCCATTTCCAATATACAATTTGATATATTTCATACAAAGTTCGACATATTTTCCAGAAAATCATCTTAACAAAAACAATCGCTAACTTAGTACAGTAAGTAAGCGTGCGAAGATCGTGAAAGCAGAATATTTTCGAGCATCGAGGCTCGATCACCGAATTATTGATTTTCAGTAACAGCTATATAAAAGGTAGGAAACGAGGTACCGCGGGAAATCTCGTTGAGCCAAGGTAAACCGAGTCTAAGGACCGGCTACGAGGCCATAAACCAAGAAGTGTTTAATCTTCGGTGCGCCAGTTGTAACCTGTAGCCGTACGAAGGAAGGCGTAGACGTAGCGACTTAAGCCTCCAGGAAATAATCAAAGCGGCGATACAGTGGCGAATAGGTAGACAGAGTTCTGTGTGTCGCGATGTCGAGGTAACGCGATGTACACCTCTGGTGTACGTGAATTTAGGTGCGTCTAACACGTTCGTCTTGGTTCGAGGTAACGGTTTGAAAAGCTTTGTAGTTGTGAGGACTCGAGCAACAGCAACAAGGGGGGTGGGAGG